ACGGCGTCGTGTTTTTTCAATGGGCATAATAATATTTCACCGGGGAATAGGTTTTTGCACGACTCTCCCACTCACCACGCCATCGACAACGACTCCTCGCTTCTACAATATTTCGCATAACCACGAAAGGTACAAAGATGAGCAAGGTGAGAGAGCGTTGGCCGCACCGTTCCTTTTTTTGCCGAGAAAATCGAAATGCTCTCCGCCGTCAGATTATCGGCTCCGTATAAGAGCGGCGGGCTAAAGGGTATAAACCCCGGGTTAGATTGGCCATTACAAGGGTGTGTTCGACCAACCCTGAAACGTCCGAGAGTGAAGTAGAGTGTATACAGGGCGCCGTGACGGTGAATTATTCAATGCACGGGTTATGTTTACAGTAGAAAGCGCTTGTTTCCAATTAACGGGCTCGAATGGCACTAGCCGCGGCGTGGAGGAATGTAAATAGAATTTTATTGTCTCAAAAGAACAACGACACAGCTGAGGTCCACCACTTGACTGTGAAAAATTTTTAATTTTTAGGGAAAACGGCGTCACATGTGCCCGAATGTTGGATGGGTTACATGATAACATTTTACGCGCCTCCGCCATCATCCACTTAAAAAACAGCAGCGACGACTAAGGACATGTAGGGTGAAACGGAATACGGGGGTAAGGATTATTACTGTTATTCGTGTCGTTTTACTTTCATAATTAACTCGTGTGTTTTTCACCGCCACTTCTTCGAATTGTGAAAGTATGTACCGTATTCGTGTATATCACCGCCGTGAATAATAAATATAATTTCTCAACGTTAACGGAGGTAGCGTAGAACAGGGGAGAATTATAGACGACGTGGGCGGAATGGAAGGCTTAAAATTTAAACACTCACGGATAGCAGCAGTGTCGTAGCTATAGTACAAAAGGAAAAAAGAAAACTTTTCCTCGTCGTCCATAAAAGTAAAAAATTAACTTTAATGCCTACACAGAAACGACGAGCTTCTATAATCAACTCTCTTTCTTTGTAGTCTTGACTAGTTCCAAACACGCAAACATTTTTCTAGCGTGTCCCGTAGGCCGGTTAAATATTTTTTAAATATATGTCGATGCTCAGTATACTCGTAGAACTAGATCGTTCTAATTAGCCTTTAATGTCACATAATATATAAATAAAACTGTTGGTATAGGTTAAGACAAATTCTTAATAAAAACAAATTCAACAATTTAAGCATAATATAAAGAGTTGTAATTCATTTTTTAAATTCAATTATCGGTGATAAAGTAATAAGTATTTTGCGCAATTTTTTAGAAAACCCTTTCATTGATTTTTTTTTTATATATTAAGTTGTGTTTACGTTCATGTATTAAAGATTCATTAATAAATTTAATAATTATAAACTTCATATAATTTTTATGGAACATATTAATGTTTACTAAAAAAAAGCTTTTTTTTTTGTATAGTTACTATTTTTATTACGAATAAAAATCATATTTTAAAATAAATAAGTACCTATACATTTTTTTTTTTTAATAATTGTATAATATATAACCTATAAATTACTCTGTAGCTGTAAAAATTTAGTGATACACGATAATTCAAAGAAAAAGTTTGAAAACAATTTTTTCAGTAATAAAATCAGTTTTTTTAGAATCTACAATAAAACCATATAATATTTTTATTTTTTATTATTAATGAGGATTTTATAACTTTAAAATGTTACAAAATAGAAATATATAAATATATTTGTATATACATTATATTTGTTGTTAAAGGTTTATAAACAATTTAATGAAAGTATTTACTATATTTATTAAATTTTAATTAAATATTAAATATGTCGTCATTATATAATGTCAGTGAATGTATTTTCGCTTTAATTTTAATATTAATTAGTTTTTATATAATTTATTAGTAATGTACATATTAAAGTTTATAGAATCGCACGGTCTTAATAAGGTATAATATACTAATAATTTTATTTTAAATGTTTTACTATTATTGAATTAAAAATAATAATAATATTATGTTTACATATTTATCAAAACACATTGAATTTAAATAAAATATGTTACACTAAAAATTAAAGTTATCGTTGAATGATATTGGTTATGAAGTTAGTACTTATTTACAATAAGTACATAATATTTCTATGGAAAAAAAATATATTTAATCCATAAATGATTAGATCTAAGACTGATTTGGTATGATTGAACATTTATACATAATAATATATAGGAACCATTTATGTTAAATTCTTAAAAACTGCAATAATATCATCTACGTTTTGTTGTGTATAAAGATTTGTTTACAAAGGACGTCAGTGAAAACATTGCTAACACAAATTTTAGTCGACGTAGGTATATATCATTTCCTGTTTATAGCTTATAAATTCTACGGAAATACTGGTTATGGAACGAGAAACTAAGCACAGGCTTAATAATTTATCTCTCAGTGACATCCCGAAACAGAAATATTTAAATGCAATTGTTTCCAACAAACCAAAAAAGCCACGCATTTTCCAATTTTAGAAAAAAAATGTAATAATAAATATGCTTTATGATTAAATATGGTTTTCATTTATTTTTAAACATACTTAGTAAGGCCAGTAAAATCGATCCTCTGGTCGAGGGTCACCATAGGGTTTTTATTGTTGTTGTATGTATACGCATACACGAGTTTATCCTTGTGTTCTCCTATTGTTGGACAGCAGTAAAAAAAGGAAAAAAAGATTTAATGGCGTAATATCCAATATAATAATGGTTTTTTTTTTAGAGGAGGGGATGTTAAAAGTTTTTTGGTCCTACATAAATTTCAATCGTAACTATTGTGACTATGGTTTTTTTACGATCGAAGATTTAACGGGATCTTGTACTAAGAATTGTAAAATCAATTGAAAAAACATTGTATTTGAGACTCGGAAAACATTTCAAACTTCGGATAATATGATTTTAGAAATTATATAATTTATTAACAATAAATATAATTATGATGTAAAAAATAACCAAATTATTAAGCTATAATACATAAGTCTATAAATTGTTTTAAATTATGTATGGGCGCGTTGGATAAGTATAATAAAAAAGTCTATAAAAAACATTTAATAAACACCCAGTAAAACTAAAAACTAATAATTAAAACAATATTATTTAAATAAATTTTAGATTCAGAGCCATTAAGAATATTTGAAAAAACGAAAGTGAATTAAATTATTATCGAGTTCTATTAAAAACGTTTCAAAATACTACTATGTGTATAAAAGTTAAATAACTAAAAAGAGTAAAACTATTTGATACAAAACATTTTTCAATTTTCGAATAAAAGAAAAGAAAAATGTTTTTGAAAATTATAGACATTTATATTTTGTAAGTTAGATTATATTAATATTATTATATTTTTGGTTATTTAACTACCAGTTTTTCTAGAAATATATTTCTGATTTAGTTTATTCAACGATTTTCGAATAACGATACTAAATGCTTGATGACAAATTTATTGCCTGCTTGAAATGCATATAAGTAATTTCATTAATACCACAGGATTTATGTCCGGATTAATAACATTGTCTTGAACGTGAGTGAAGTGAGTTAATTCGATTTATTCTCAACTCATCCTTCGTTGCATAATAACGATGAATAGAATCCATCAACGTGCTTATTCCATAAGATATGAAGTAACCAGAATATGTAAGGTAGAATGGTAATACTATAATATTTCATGACTATACTTTAAGGCATACCAAAAATAAAATAACAAACAGATTTTAATGTTTGATAGAAAATATGTAGTAATATTTTGTATAATTCAATTATACAATTAATTTATTAATTTGTTTAAAAAAAGCACACGAAAAACATTTATTTTTTTTATCAAGTAAAGAATAATTAATTTATAAAAAGTAGAGGGAATTATACTAAAATGATAATAATTAAAAAAAAACAGCGTTGGATTATGACCGTATAATTATTTAAATAATTTAGTCTATTTAAAATAACAGCCATTGAATGGATAGAATTTTAATTTTTAAACTTGTCAGTCGTCACGCTAGTGGAGGTAATGCAAAAAAAAAAAAACAGTTATAATATTACTTATTTATAAAACCAATAACTTATTCACTCCACTCAGAACCTAAATGGTTAATCAAAACAAAAATGGATACAATTAAGTCAATTGTAAAAGAATATTACCAAAATGGTTTTATGATAAAAAATGTTTTATTTAAAAAGGTTTTTGCCGATTTTTTTCTATTGTGAATAGTGTAGTAAGAGGTATATATCGAAAAAGCAGAATATAAATATAGGGCGTAAGAATTACTTCAACAAGAATTAATACTATATTCGATAAAAGGTTAAGCAAACAAGGTCAGATATAATATATATTTTATGCTCATTCGTCAGCATATGCGAAAAATTAGTGTTATAATCGTAGCCAACCTTTAAATTCTTATAAAAAAATCTATGCATGATGCTCTTAAATAATGCATTGATGGTAAATCGGTGAACTATATTTAGTTTTAGTACTCATTGAGATTTATTTCTAGTTGTGCCTATGTTGGTAAGTAACACAGTTTAATGATAAATAATATATTTAATTGTTTCATTTATGGAACGCGATAAGACTGAAAAGATCTGTTAAAATTCCTGTTAGAATACAATCACGAAAACTATGCTAATAGAAAATGCAGTTACTGAGAAACAACTAAAAACAAAGTAATTAATTTCTATTTTAAATTATAATATTGTTTTAGTACAATATATTAAATTTTATTATCTTTTAAGATATTAAAAATAGTTGAAAACTATGACATTTGTTAAGAAAAATGACAATAACGTTTTATGACATATTTTATTAAATTAATCAGTATTGATATTTTAATCTTATGAATGCTTGAAAAAACTTAAAAACTATAGTTAAAACTTGTTACTGTTAATATAATTCAATAATTATTGATTGAACTCGTCAGTAGTAAATCTGTGTTCATAGTCTAGTAAAGCGCATTATTAAAATATTTATGAACTAATTTTACCTTTTGTGCGACGAAAACTTCGTAAAGAGCACAAACTCCAGCTATTGTGATCCCTTGTTCTTTACATAGCATAGCTACACTCAAGCAGACCGCAGAAAGTGTTAGAGGCTTCCATCCTGAAAGGTAATAATTGTATCATTGAGTTTTAATAACTCAAAAAGTAGGTAATTAAGTTTTACTTTATTTTTAATTTATTTTAGTTTAGAAAAAATATTAGAAGAACATAAATATATACCAGAGTATTTTTTTCTCTTGGTTGCTTCAGTATACAATAAATACGCAGATAAGTAAAACACTGACGATAGCGTTTCTGCTCGTCCAACTACACCAGTAACCTAAAACAAATAAAATATAATACATTAAATTTATAAGAATTTACAAGTTATGTATTTGAAGATTCAATTATTTTGCTAAATGAAAGTGATTTTTAGAAAATAGTATTTTAATTTAGTGTTGGCGCTTTAAAAATAGATAAAAATAAGTCAATCAAATATTTTGTTGTTAAATTCATATTTTTGGATATTTATAAAATATTTTCTTACTCTGAAGCTCACTCTTTTAAGAATATTTATCCTACCTAATTCTACTGTCCTTTATATTGTTTACTACATCGTCCGGTCGTTTGCTAATGACCCAACCGTGCATGTTAAATGACAATTAGTTAGAATCATCCTTTCTCATCTCATAATCAGAAGAACAAAGCTGAATTATAATCTTCTAAAATTTAATAACATGTCTGTAATTGTTATGCTAAACTACTTGCTGACCTATTTAATAGGGTCGGTTTTTATTATATCATAATATTACTAAGGATAGTACAAACACAAAATTATTGTTTAGGATTGTTTTAATTTAAAAATTTAAAATTTTTTAACAAAACTTTTATTTTATGGTTGATTAAAATTTAGTAATATATTAAGTTTAAATATTAACATGATATTAATATAAAAACGTATAACATTTTTTTTCTCACTTTCTCAGTCTATAAAATAATGTTTGTATAAATGAAACTAGAAATATAAATTTCTTAATATTTCAAAGTATTTTTATACTTTTCTAGATTTTTAATTTCAATACATTTATTTTGCAATATTATTTGTAATTATTAAAGTATTTCGGCTTTTAGGCGCCTAATAAAAAAATAACATTGAATTTTTGAATTAATTACGAATAGTTTTTAGAAACAATGATTTTAAATATTACAAGTAGGGTTATAAATTTAAATAATTTATTTTTATACTTCATATTTTATTCAAATAGTAAATACTATATTTATCTATAACTTTATAAATAATAACATTGATTTCTTTGAACTATTAGGAGATATTATATACTTCAATGTTTCAAATTTCAATTCTAGAAATCATGTTTTGTTTTATTCCTCATTATCGCAAAAATTACAATCGTTTTGGCCCTATTAACCTTCTATTAACAGCATGAATCTGAATTGTAATCAAATTTATTTAGATCTCTTTTATAATGACATAAATTATTTGGAATCAATTATGTTTAATTATTTATATTTTGTTTACTGTAAATACCTGTATTAGAAATTAAGTTTATTACATGTAAAATTCTAATATTTATTGAATTATTTGCTTCGGGGCGTTAAATAAATGAATAAATAAATAATATTAATAATATTATCTTAAAACAATATTATTTATTATTATATCATAAAAAAAAAAATAAAATATAAATTTACTAATTTACTAAATTATTCAAATACCTTAATTTAGAGATCAATAAAATTAGAGTAATTGAAAACACTAGTAGAAGCAAAAAAAAAAAAAGACGATAATAATATTGTAACATTATTTGATTGTTTTGCAAATTTCAAAATACTATGTATCGTTTTACGAATAGGAAGTCTCAACGGGTATTACGGACTCAGATTTAATTGACCCACTCGCCAGGGGACATTTTACAGTCCGATATTAATTTAGAATTACTCTGTTGGTACGTTATAATAATGAACATTGAAATAAAATACAAATCTCTCCCTCTATCTCTTTTTCGCTAACTGATTTTAAATTTAACGGACATATAATTAAAATTTATATCGCTTAGAAATATACATAATAATCAATATAGATATGCAATAATAGTGGAGCAAATCGGTAGATCAAACCACACCTATTGTCAGATACCCGTGATGATTTATAGAGTATGTGTTTTACCCAGTCCATTGCATGCCAAGGCCTCGAAAACAGGCACAAATAAATTTACGAAAGGTTTATCGAGTCTTTGACTTTACCTTTGTTATGTCAATCATATATATTAGAAAACCCTTATAAATTCAAAAATATAGATTTATGTTAGTATTTTTCATTTCCAAAGTAGATAAATAAAGATAAGTGACATGCGGTAGCGAAACACCCAAAACTACTCAAGTTATTGTAAATTTGATTTGATTATGTACAAAGAAAATACATATAATAAAGATACTAATCGTGAATTATATACATCTAAGTTTTATGTAATGGTAGAAAAATAAACAAATAATTTTTGAAAAGCGACAACGTAGGTTTTTTTAAAATATAATCTAAATAAAAAAGAAGAACTTGGCACAGATGAAGACTTATAAAAACCTCTATTTTCTGTGTTTATTTAATTATACTTTAAATGGGTCACAGGATTTTTTTCTGTATGTCCTTGAAGAGAATCCCTGAGGAGTACTGAACAAACGACATTTCATTCGGCATTTATATATTATTCATTAGTTATTCGACGCTTGAGTTGTGTTTGTAGAACACTCGTTTTTCGCAACTAACAACTCAATTACACCTGTGGGGGTCAGACCAATTAATCTCTTCATCGAAAAGGGTAAAATTCATCTTTTATCTTTACTCGGTTGTTAATTATTTATTTGTTCCCACTTAAATACACTTATATTGTGTTTTCCGCATCTTCCTTTCGTCAAGAATACGGATTTGTTAAGTTACCAGTTACAGAGCATCGTAGTTTTGAAACTATTTTTCAGTAAAACAGAGTAGAAATGAAAATTGTGTGCAAAACTTTTTCTCGCATTGCAAAATGATAGCATGTAACTGCAAAACTTTAAGACAGCAAAAAAGTAAAAAAAAAATAATTACTGTCCATCAATGGTTTGATATTAAACTTCAAATTACTGTATAGTCGTCTAAAGTTACATATACTAACTGGTCTTAAAATATGTGGCTTTCATATTTAGACGTCAAACGATATGTAACTGTCAAAAACATTTGTTTTAATTTAATATATATATATATATATATATGCACACCTGCAACTAACATCAAGTCAAAATAATTATATAACATTTTAAAGATTTAAACGATTTTTCGAGAAATTATAACATTGTGTTTAATACGTTCTTTCAATAGAAATGCATACACCACATTAAAGATGGATTAATATAAAACCCCATATACCTCATCACAAATTATTCTATTTTTAAGCTTATATAAGCATTTTATAAACATTATTTAATAATTTTATATTTTATTTTATCAAATCTGTGTATTTTGTTTAACGAGTAAATTGCATGACTGAAGGTAACAAGACCTGCGTATTAAGTAGACGTAGGAAGGTTTGTCAATGATATTGCTATAATGGCAGTGAGTTAATGCAAATTAATTTTACCAAGTTAAATATACATTTTATTCCGACAAAGGTTATTTAATATAAATAAGTCTATACAAATGAGCGTTTACACAAATATACAAAAGTTAAATGTGAATAATGAGTATAATATATTTGAAAATATTTGTTGTTTTATGAATGAACCATAAACAAAGATAAATTTAATGTCGATAATGATATATTTAAAACAAAAACCAGTTAATCGTTGTTTAAAAATTAAACAAATACAAACAAATCAGTTTTGAAATATTGATGCTTATGTTTGGTAAGCGAATGTTACTGGATTCATCCATCACTAAATGTCAATATAGTGGCCGACAAAATTAGCAAAGAACAGTCTGCCTATAAATGCAATATCACAATTAGGTATTATATATTGAACGGTAAATTGATGTTTGATATTTGCGGTCCAAGCACGTACACAATTTAGTCGATGGATATTTTGGTCTATTGCGTTATGGTAAAACAAAATCTATAGACTTACGAGATCTTCGAATCCCGTATGGTCGTATATAATATATAGCAAATGAGAGACGGGAGGTTATAGGTCGCCCGATCAATATTATTGTTGGTTTCTTGACTCCCATACTATTATAGGGTGTTATTATGCGAAAGTCTAATAAAAATAATATTAAAACAGTATACTCCCTCTTAACATTTTTACATTTTTTTTTTAAACCGAGACCCTCGACACGCAACTAGTGAAGGCGCAAGCCTATTAATGCTTAAATCGCTTGCAGCGTCTCCACCCAAAATACGTTGTATGCAAATCAACTCTCTTTAGATAAATGTTTGTTCTATTATGTGGAATTTTATGCAGCTATTGTAAATTGAAAAAACGAAATTCACTAAATATAATTTTACAATCTTCAATAATAATAAGCTATTGAGTAAAGTAGTTTTTCTCTTTTGTTTGATCTAAAAAGTATTTATACCTAATTAAATTTGTTGAAAATTATTTTAAGCTCTTTTAATCTTTTTAGCTTTAACCATATATATTTATTGGTTGGTTGCTATATATCTAACCTAATCGAGGAATCCGGATAATTAACTGAGATATGTACTTTATTTTGATAGATATGAATACTAAACCGGTAAATACACTTTAAGTGATTAATATAAATTATTAATTTTCATTCAAATCAAGTTATTATTTGTTGAATAAAATAATAAATTATATTTTGTAAATATATTAAAATAAACATGATGATTAAAAATATAATTTATATATTGTAAAACATATGTTAAATTTATGCATTCAAAAATAAATACACGTTGACCTGAGTTGTACATATATGCATATCATATTCAATTTAATTAGACAACGTTTTTTATTACATTTTTTTTTTATATACACATATCATGAAGAAGTAGTTTATGAAAATGTCACGGTAGTCAATGATTAAATTTCTTTTGGGTTTTATTCATTATAAAAATATTTACAGTGTTAATACCCCAAAATAAACACGCGATTTTATATAGCTTATAATAAATATAAATAACTGAATAATACTTACGGCCTCTGTATGTATGGGGTGAATAGCAAAAAGCATGGCAGCCATAAAACTAGTAAATTCGGACGCCATTATAGTATGACAGACTCTGTAAAATAAAAAAAAACGTATATGAATACATTGTTAAATTATATTTACTGAACAGGAAATATTTTTTATAATAGGAAAAAATGAGACGTTAGTGTATAACGGTAAAATAAAATAAAAAAACAATATATTCAATGAAACGACATATACTAAATAACTAAATAAATTTTTATCTATGGTAAGACATAATATATGAATAAACAATAAATTAATATGAATATCATATTTATGAATCATATGCCATAAGAAATTTGGTATTATATCTACAGAAGTGTGGGATAAGAATAAATCTTTAGTCGCAGTCATTTATTTTTTTAAAAGTATACAAAATAAGAAAATATGGTCCAAGTTAAGTTTTTAAAAGAATTAAAACCATTTGTTAACTTTGTTTATTTGTACTTAAGAACCTTAAAATATTTTGAGAATCTTTTTTTGGAAAAATAGTCAATACCCTACATAAAAATATCCCGAACAAAAAATAAACAAAACATATATTGTAACAATGTATAGGCGAGATGTGATTTGTTTTAATTATAAGTCTAATTTTCGCGTCAGCTTAGACGTATAGTTAAATCAAACTAATAAAAAAAATAAAATTAAAGTTAACAAGACGTGACATAAAAAAAAAAAAATTGATACATAAAAGAACAATATTTAAATAGAAATTTAAAATGATTGAAATTGGGAATTAATGTAATATAGCAATAATTTGTATGATATAATAAAAATCAATAATGTATTTTAACAATTGGATTTTATTTTAAACATTTTATTTTTTACTGTGATTTATTTGTAACGTGCTTTAAGTAGTTATACCAAATGACAAATAAAATATGTACCTATCATATATGGAGTCGATGCGTCTTTTACAGAAAAAACTGTACCTTACAAAGAATATAAAATATAATCGTTAATAGTAGTTCCATATTTGAAAAGTTTTTCCATATTAAAGCGGATTCTTTATTGTAATATTTTATATGGAGAGGAGGAAAATCGATTAAAACCTGTGCAAAATGCCATTGACTATGGACAAAAGAGAGTGAAAATAACCCTTAAAAGGACGCAAGAAGAGTGTGAAAGGGTAATAATTTTCCGGCAACCAACATATAAAGTAATCCTGCCTTTATCCATGGGAACCTTTAATGTATATATGTATCTATATTAATATATATATATATATAAATATTATAAAACACCTACTAAAAGTTATTTGATTATCAATAATGAACAATGTTAAGTTAAAAAAGTTAAGTAAATTAGAAACCAATAAAACTATTTTTTTTTGAATTAGATTATGACTTAAGAGCTATGACATATTAAATCATGTTTAAATAAGCATAAAAAAATCCAAAATAGTATTATTAGTACCGAGCTGGGAGTTGGTCATTATTTTTACCAATAATACACATTAAAAGACAAATGCAAGCTTCGACAAAATATATACATTAATTTTTTTTAATAAGTTGATAACATTTGTTTAATTGTAATAATTTTTATTTTACTATATATTAAACTTATATAAATAATTACACTTTTATCAAATGCTTTAATTTGAAATCATTCTAACTGTAAATAAAAAGAGTACTATAAAAAATATCGTTAAATGTATTTTTAGTGTGTATAATATATATTTTTATAAATTTAACTTAAATATTGTAACAGTTCAAATTGTTTTCAGTAATTGTTATGGAATAAATACTAACACATCAAAAAGATCTTTTTCAAGACCAACAATTCGACCGGTACAATAAGCGAGTAAAACACCCATAACATAAAAAACACACCTATAGAAGTATGTTTTAAACAAAGATATCCTCAACGTTATGACGAATGAAAAACACACTGACTAAGGGGAAGCAACTAAGCAATGGTGTAGTTTTTATTTGTCATACTAACAAATTTCAACCAATCAGAACCGGTATAAGGTAGCCTGGAGGGTATATACGTATACCGGTGCACTTTACGGAGCGATCAGTTCACTTCAATTCTTCAACCTGTCTATATCAATTATCTATCGCAAAACCAAGCCTAGATCCAGGATGGAAGACCTGGACAATTCTACGACCTCGCCGTTTCGTGGCGCGATAGCGAGAATCGTGTACCGGTAATCAACATTCAACGTGGCCGACGACCAATCATATCGATCGTACGATATCATTAGTCCACGGAAACCTCGGAATCACCAAACGCCCGAATAGCAATCAACCAATTAAAAGTATTCGAATCAACACTATTGCTGATCGGTGAGGAACAACTAGAGACAAGTAAACAATCGACCGATGAACGATCAATTCGCGGACCATGAGTGAACCCACGGCCGAGGATGGACCTACGATCCCGGTATCAAACGGCAACCGAGCGCCGTCGCCAAAATTGCTCTTCTCAGGGCGACCACGTCTGACACTACCCCATAGCGTGATTACCAAAGCCACGCTTTTCCGGTTGAGTCCCACGATCGAACGTCACTTGTTTGATCGGGCTCGATGTGATAGGACTTGTTCCTATCTCTTTAATATTGTATCGATACTAACCTAACATTCTTATTACTGTATGAGACCGGTAAGTGGTACGCGATCACTTAACCCTATTCCCTATGTAAATATATATTGAAATAAAACATCAAATATTTGCAGGATAAATAACTCGTGTACAGTTTCATTCACGATCGACACGTTTTTAGTGTATCGTATCATAATTTAATTTAAAAATAAAATGTGTTCATTGTTCATACATTTTTGTTCTATAGATACTAAGAAATAAGGTGATAAAACAAATACATTTCTAAGAAATTTTTACATTTTTAATTTATATTAATGATAAGAAGCAAAAAATAAAAGTAAAGTTAACATTATAGAAACTAATAATGTAAAGAAATTTGTCAAAACGATAAAGCGTGCGGATGACAGAGAACAAGTCTACGAATGGCTATAAACTTTGGTAAATAGTTTCTTAATAGGCTTTAATGGTTTGCGTTCCGAATATAAAGTGCACAAACACTATAATTATATATATATATATATATATATATTATTCGAATTGTTATATGGTCAGACTGAATGTTAGCTTTATAAACATTCTTCTTTTATTACTAGTAATAGATTATTGTTAAAATCGTTATTTAAATTTACGTGAAGGATCTAAAATATTTATTTTTTGTATCCACAGGAACTATAAAAAATAATTTTAATTTAAATCTGAGAATTTTTTTAAATTATTACAATAAGTGGCATCTTTCAGATATTTTTCTAGATTAAGTTTTATATTGTTTTTTTTTAAACAAGAAATTCCAGCCTAAAAATTGGTTATCATAAAAGAGCTGTACACTAAACTAAAATACATCTTTCTTCATTTCTAACAATTCAAGGTACACTCAATTAGTAATTTAAGGTTTTTCATCATATACATACACAATAATATAATTAATATTGTTGAAAGCGTGTGTTTTATAGATATTATATTGAATTCGTAACATTTTCTAAGGTATATATATAAATATAGTTAAAATCAAGTTTTTATTTGTTAATTATTATTGCTTAATTCCCCAAAGTAAGAGAAAATGTACTATTTAAAACATTAAGTATACAGTTTTAAATTTTATCGGATTCAATTTAGATTGAGGTAAAAATGTACCCGTTGAACAAATATTTATACTTAAACTGTAAATAAATTTAATTATTATAACTTTTCATCATAAGAATTTTATAGTTAAAAATCTTACTTTTGCGTGATTAGAAATAAACATAACTTTTAACACCTATTATTTAAAAGTACTACGTTTATATCTATACATATATGTATATTATTTTAGGGTGGCTGATTTAGATTGGGGGATTTTAGGGGTTCACCCTCCCCCAGAAATTTTTAAATTAGTTAGGTATATATTTAAAATATAACAAAAAATAACTACACACGTCTTTATGTATAAATGTATAATTGTACAACTACAGTTTATTTTAAGTATTTGTACATAACATAGTCATACGTTATCTGTTTTAGAAAATGACAAACGTATATTATTTTATCGCAATCTTGTCGGAAAACGGACTTAATCGTATTATAGATATTCAATTGTTCCGTGTACGCCAGTATCAGGAACGTACACAGAGGAGTATTTTGGGTGTTCAAACAACCCCCGAAATATTTGGTTATGTGTATGATTATTTACTTATTCAATTTTAATGTTTGTGAAAAATCGGCTTAAGCAAAATAAAAATTTTAAAAAAAATAAAAATACTTAAACAGAATTTAAAAATAAAAATAAAAATCTCAGTCGTCAATATTTAATTTTTTTTCATAAGAAAACCAATCAAACTGAATTAGATTCAGAATTAATTACTAAAAGAAGAAGTTCTGTGTTCTTCTACTACTGAAAATGGTGTAATAGAAAGTAGTCCAGATTTACCAGAACTTCGAGATATTGGACGATATGTAGATATTAAAATAGTTGAAGATAAATTTAAGAACAATTCATTAAAAAATCCGTGGCTTTCTTCTTCAAATTATAATTTTTTGATAGTGTCAAAAAGAAAATTAAAATTCCAAATGTCTTGGTTAACACCATTTTCTTGATTAGTTTATTCAAAACAATTAGAAGGAGCATTATGTAAAGTATGTGATTTATTTTCTAATGAGTGCACCGGAAAAGGTTCAAATCAAAAAGTAGGTGTTTTAGTAAGTAAATCTTTTATTAAATGGAAAAATGCTTTGGGATGTTTTAAATTATATTCTAATGCAGAATATCATAAATTGATTAAATTGTCTGTAATACGCGCTGATGAATTTTTAAAAATAATGAATAATAAAAAAACCGACATCTCTATTTCTATCAATTCAGTATATAAAAACATAGTTTTGGAAAATCGTGCTAAACTGGTTCCAATTATTGAAAAAATTATTTTTTATGGTTATCAGAAAGTGGCATTAAGAGGAGATAATGACAGTAGACCTATATTTTTAGCTGCAATGCTGATAACAATGATGGACATTTCAGATCATTGTTAA